CTTGGCTCCTGGGACTGCGACTCTGCCAACAGAGGGCGCTAGAGGGCCTACAGGGCTGAAGGAGAAGGGGTTGCTGCTGCTTGTCTGCTGGGTCCCCGACACGCACAGGAACAGCCTCTTTACTGGGGGCCACGGCGGCAGCCAGCAGCCAACTGCGCTTCGTTGTTTTTCCAGCCCTTGCAGAACCAGCTGCCTCAAGCCCCCTTCAGACTCACCAGACCGGCGGGCACGGGCCTTCCTCCCAGAGCGGGTTTTAGTTCCTTCAAGCTCCTCTTTTCGTACTTCCATCTCTGCCCTTTGGTCCCTTGTACACAGCTGGGCACCTTAGAATTGTTTCACCTTTTTCAATTACCTCGCTGCCTAGCTTCACACCTATTTTAATTCTTTGTAATATATTCCCTCTGTTCAAAGAGCTGGTGTGGTGTCTGCCTCCTGACTGGACCCTTTCACACAACCCCAAAACCACAGTTCTTGGCATTCTGACACTGCCCCCTACCGCAGAAACCACAGCCCCCCTCCTGGGACCGCCCTGGGGGAGCAGGCGGGGTGGGGGCGAGGGGATATGCTGCGAGAACTTTCCTCTGCCTCACTGGCCAAAGAATCAAATGGACACGAGACAGTTTAACAGGAGAAAGAAACGAAGTTTACTTACTTACATATGGGGAAGCCATATATGTGGGTTCCAAAGTGTTGGGGTCCAAAGTGTTGGGGAGAATGAGGTGTATATGGTGTCCCGAACCAAGGAGAAGTGAAGAGGGTCTGACAGAATCCGGATGGCAGCACCGCATTTTTGAATAGGCCCACCCACCATCTCAGAGAGACCTAGGTTTCATCATACTTGGGCTACAAGCATTCTCCAGAGGACACAAGCAAGCCGCAAGCCCACCTTTCCCCTGACCCCTCCCCTCAAAGAGCCCGCCAAAGTACCTGGCCATAAAAGGCCTCAGCCTGTAAGAGACCCCTTCTTTGTTCTGCTGGCCAGAACAGGGGGGTCCCTCTCAGGTTTAGCAATAAACCTGCTTGGACTGTTGAGTGTGCATCCCCTCTTTTCCTTTCAGGGTCTGAGACTTCAAAGGAAAAGGGGTGTAACTCCAAGTGAAAAGGGTGTAACTCACAGGAATATGAAAAGAGTAAATGTTTTATAAACAAAATAGTTGATGGCCACGCACAAATAATGCAGCAGATTGACATCTGAACAGCGCCGCATTCCTCCCAGTCTCACACACCTAGTGTACTTACATAAGATAGCTCTCGGTGGCGATAGCTCTCCTGGACTAGTTCCTCCATCTGAATTATTTTTATGCATTTGGGGGATGGGAACGTTCTGAGTCTTTTGGGCCTTGATTGTTCTCAACTCTGAAGTAATCTGAATGTCACAGTGGCACATCTTGGGGTGGCCTGCCGTGGGTCCCTACTAGCTATAGTAGAAAGCCCCTCAAACTCTGCTCCTGCCCCCGGTGCTTTAGAAAGCACTCCATCCCCTCTCTGAGGCCAGCCAGCTATTCTCTTCCTCCAGGCCTCAGGCCCCTGCAGTCCCAGCCGCACACAATAGGCCTTGGCTCCAAACAATGGTCTAGTGACCTAAATCACTGTAACTCCGGGGAGAGGAAATCCCGGGGCAAAATCCCTCTAAAACTGAAATCAGTCAAAGGGAGAAATAAAGTTTAAAGCCTGCTTATTGCTTACCAATTGCAGTCCAGGGACATCTCTCTCTCCTGCTGCATCAGAAGCAAGCAAGACCGCCCCCTAACCTCTCAGGTTCAGATAAGCCCTTGGTTGCCCAGGTAATTACCCATTGATATGGAGATGAACTTTTATCCACCCCTGAGAAACGCCTGTTGTTATGCAGATACACTAAAGCCAACCACAGTCAGAGATACAACTCTGTAGCACACTGATTTGGGAACCATAAATACGGGACAGCACCCACTCCAGGAGCTGGGTGGACGCAGGCTCCAGTTTCCTCTAGGGGTGGGCGCTATTCTCAACTCCAGCGCTCTCCTCTCCTCCTCCCCTCCTCGCACCCCACCTGCCCCCACCCTCATCCTCTCTTCTAGGACAGGGGTTTTCGAGCTGAACAATTTGGTGCACAACTGTTAGCAATTTTTAAATGACAAAATATAACCGAAAATCTCAGAGCAAATTGTAATACAAAGAAAAAATTTTCCCAAATCTGGTCTAGGGAAAATTTTTTTTTTTGAGATGATGTAATTTGGTCTCCTTTTGAGAAAAAAATAGCATGGGTGTGATAAAATACTTAAATAATTTTTGGATAAACTTTAATGGCATTAAAATTTGTCCTGGGAAATTAGTTACCCACTCACCCACCCATCAGCGCACCAGGGGCCTTTTCTTTGTGCACAAGAGGCAGTAAGACTTTTTTATGCACTCATAACTCATGTGACAGCCAAGCGTCCTTCTACAGCATACAGTGGGGTAGGTATTGTTTCAGGGAAGTTTTGTTAAAGCCTCATCAGCCAACCACCAGCAGATACAGCCTCCAAGGGGCTGCAGGTTGCCTGTCCGCCCTCAAGAGGATGGAGGGAAGTAGTTTCTGTTAGAGTTAGGTTCTGATGAATTCTGAGGGCCTATGGGAAACAAAGATAGGTTCTGGAGTGGCTGCTGTTTCTGAGCAGGCATTAGAAGCAGCAATGATAAACTAAGGTGTTAGGTTCTGTCACAAGGAGAGTTCCATAACACCCCCGCTAGTAGTTGGGATTGCAAAACCCATCTAGGGGGCATTATGGATAAGAAAACAGTAGTCACTGGGATAAGGGAACATAATGCCAACCTTGGGAGAAACCATGTTTCCTGCCGGCTGTGTTTGCTACAGGCTTTATCTGTGTCTGTCCCAGCAGTTTTTTTCTATTTCAGTCTGAGCTGAGTTTTATTCTTTCAATCTCAAACAGGTTTTTACTTTCAGTTGCACTTATAAGTGGATGTCCATATTGGGTCTTGATATAAAACATATTTCTTACTATGGGTCAAGGTAAAACACGAAAAAAAAAGTTGCTTCCAACTTTTTTGATGTCTTGGCACACGCAGAAAATGATTATGCATTCAGCACAAATGGTATCCGTCTGCTCACTGGGGCAAATAGATGGTATCGTGGTGAATAGGAGCAACAGTCCAGCAACAGTCTGGAAAACATGAGAAATTACAGCTCAAATAAAAGTGATTACTTCTGGAAACAGGCACAGCTTAGATGGACTCAAGTCAGGTGAGACCTGGGCCCAAATGGAGCATTTTGCTGCTGTCTTTGTTCAGCAGTGAACTGCCTGAGGCCCTCCATGTGGGTTCCAGAAATGACCTGCCCCCTCCGGAGCCAGGAGCAACCCTTGCAATATGTTTGCATGGTCATATGTTTTTATGAAAGTTCCAAAAGTTGGACATTTAAGCCAGAATCAGTTAGCCTATTATCTCTTCTCCCCTCCCACTCCCTCTTCACCACATTTCCCCTCTTGTCAGGAGGCCTCAGTTTGACTACAACACAGTGTATTCACGTACCCATATTTTAGTTCTTGAACGGTGCCTCCAAAACTGAAAAATTCAGGCCCCACAAAACCTACATCACTGTGCACTGAGTCACCAGCCCACCCCGATTCCCAGACCCTTGCCTCAGTGGGATATTGCCAAAAATAATGGTGGGGTTTTCCTGAAATTTTATATCCATAACCTATTTGTTATTCCAACGGAAGCATATTTTATACACTGTTCAGTACTTACCTAGCAACCTTTCCCTATCAACACACAGAATTTGACTTCATTTTTAAAAATTAGCTGCATAGATTGTATGTGCCCAAATTAATGTAACCCCTTGGGACTGATTTCATCACGTCCACTATGCACTAATTTATTGCAGTTGTCCTGGGAGGTCCAACCGAGTTTTACACAAGACCTCACAGAAGGATGTTACCTGTTTCATAATCTTCCTATTTTTGTTCTTTCATTGAGGAAATTTCTCTAAAAAGGTATATCAAGCTGGTAGATTCCCGGGGTTGGCCACACGTGTCTGCTTAAAGTCAAACTCCGACCCTTTAAGATTAATGTTGCACCAGTAGCGTCACTTGGGGAGTGAGACCTTGCTGCCCAGTGAGAGCCGCCCAGTGCTGGATCACCAGCTGAAATGAGTCAGTTCTATTTTCTAAGTCGTTAAGTCTGGGGGCCTATCTCACACTGTGCCTAGTTCCATTCAGTTATTTCCAGACTTTTAAAAATCTTTCTGCAGGGACGCTGCAGGGCAGGAGGGACTGCAAACGCAGAACATTCTAGAGGGAATAGCGCCACCAAGAGGCCAGCTGTGGTAGAGGCGGCGGGAGGCTGGGGCGCTCTCCCCAGATAGTAAATTTGGTGGGATCGGGTCAGGGCGCCAGGTCCCCTCCACACAGATTTTCATCCACCTCAGCAGAAGGTCCGGGTTGATTTCATGAAAGGGATAGAAGTTTTTCCTGACTCTTCTCTGCCAGTCAGCAAGTCTGCCCAGTCGCTGGACTGAGTCTTATACTCGTGTGCGGCTCAAGTGGCTACCCCAGTCGGGAGCAGTCACATATAAATTCTCTGTAAACGTTACAGAGCGAAGGAAGCCCTAGTAAGTGTTCAGCGCTCCACACACCACGTTTAGGTTACGGACCCCACTCAGTATGATCTCTTGAGTCCTGGGCACTTACGGTTAATTCCCCTGTGACATGTCCAACTGTTTCCTCCCTCCCTCCGCGGACTTGGAGGGGGAATACGGATGCGCAGGCCGATCAGTTACGCATTAGTGGAGCCCATCCAGGCTGATTGAGAGACTACAAGTTCCAGAGTGCATCTTTCTGGTAGCGCAGGGAGAGGTTGAAGTTAAAGGAGCATTGCCTTCTGGGAAGCATAGTCTTCCACTTGTTTGTGATGCAGGCGAAACAACAGGGAGGGAGGAAAGGGAGTAAACTATTACCACGTGACACTCGGGATCAGGTGGTTGGGCCAGCCTCCGCACAAGAGCTGTGATTGGCTGACACTAATATGAACGACGCCATTAGGGGCGGGCCGAAGAGGGGCGCAAGCGCACTGCATTGCGAGTCTCGGGACCCCTTTCCTGGAGATTATGGCGCTCAACAAGAATCACTCGGAGGGCGGCGGAGTGATCGTCAACAACACCGAGAGGTGAAAACACCGAGGAAGGATTCTTGGGGGCCTGAGGACGGGTTCGAGGGGTGGACAGTGGGCAGTGGGGGAGAAACCTGTGAAGACGGAAAACATGGGGTGCGGTTGGGGGGTGACGGCTGGGGCGGGGCTGGAGGGAGGTGGGTGGGTCGTGGGGGAGGGGTCTGGATGTCGCTTATCTGCTGTGGGATGGGGGTGGGGTGAGGCGGGGGGCTGATGTCGGGGTTTGGGGAGACAGGTGGGACCTGGGGGTAGGTCTTGAGTCTCTTTCCCAGGGTCGGTGACGTTAAGAGAGGGGAAGAGCCTTAGACAAAAATAGTTGCCATTTACTGGGCGTTAACTAAGTTACTACGTGTCAGGCACTCACTGCCCCTCTTCTATCTTAATATGGAAATCTTGTGAGGCAGATACTGTTATTAGACACATGTTATATGTAGGGAAGTTGAGACACAGAGAGGTTAAGTAACTTGCCTGAAATTACAGAGCTGTCGGTAACAGAGATGAGATTCCAGGAAAGAAGTCTTGACTCCAAAGTCAGTATGCTTAACTGCCAGCATGTAACCTTCCAGCATATTCCAGAACTGCTGAGTTTCTGGTTGAGAAACTGAGGCCCAGAAGTTAGATAGATAAGCTTTGTGAAATGCCTGACACGTTTTCTGGCACGGTGACTGTTCTTGCCTCTTTCTCTTGAATGCGTGTTGACTTGGGTCACTCCCCAGAGCAGAGGTCTCCCAACTTCAAGGTTCCTTCTACCCACTCAATTAATTCGATCTCTCCCCCAGCCTTTGGGCTCCCTGGATGGCTTCTCTCTCCTGTAGCTCCTTGGGCATTAAGAATCAGACCAGCCAGAACTGGTTGAGCTATGCTGACCCTGAAGCACCTCTTGAAGGCAGAAGGAGGTTAGGAGAAACCTGCATCCCCCAGAAGCAACTTGGCGGAGGCAAGGCCTTGTAGCCAGCCGAGACCAGCCCCCAGCCCAGGGCCTGTCACTCTCCAGTGGTTGATGAGTCACAGGGTACTGGCACCTCAGAGTGCTGACTTTCCTCCATCTCACCTGCTCGGGGTCTAATTGGCCAGCCCGTTCCTGGTAATGACCCCTTTTCTTTGAGCTGTACTTCCCTTTGCTGGTACCAGTCCTTTTTCCCACTTAACCCTCTCCAGTGAAGAAAGTTGTGATGTTTGGGAGGAGGAAGAAGACAAATGGAACCATGTGAACTTGGACCTTGTTATCTTACAGAGAAACCTCATATTGCTCTTGCTCTCAGTTTTTAGCCTGTGTACCAGCCAGTCTCAGGCCCAGAAAAACAGTTTTGATGCCACTTGTTAACATCTACTGAGACTTTTTCTTTCTTTCTCAGTGGGACTTTTCTGGCACAAGAGCATATCTATCCTTCTGGGCCTCCTACCTGACTTAGGTCTCAGTGCTGCTAAGTAATGGTGTGCCTTGTTTTAGAAAATTCTTCAGCTTTTATTTTTGAAAATACTGTGCCTATGGTAATTGGAGTTTAAATTGGATGTGCAGAATAGCCCACCTTACTCTTCAAGTCATGGACCCCTCTGAGAGTGATGAAAGCTGCCGATTCTCCCGGAAGAGTGCCCTCGAGGGCTGCATGGGCTGACATTCCTTCAGGCTCAACTAAGATCCTGTAGTAAGCCCATCTGTACTGTGTAGAGTCATGTTGTAAAATGTTTATCGTTGGGATTAAAAAATAAGCTAACCAGAACAGAGCACCTGTCATAAGGATTCAGAAGAAAATAGAGGCGTTAACCCAGTCTAACCCGATTGGAGGGCCTGTGGCGTCTCTAGAGCCCTAGGACTCTCCACTGCTGGTCGCTGAGGCTGTGTAAGTGGTGTTTGGGGAAATTCTGTAGAACCCCAACTTGCTTTTCTCTTCCATGGCTGTACTAATAGTATTTTCACAGCGGTGTTGAAACGTGATGGCTGCAGGCATTTGCCTGCCAGGTGGGGCCAGTCCCTGGGCAGATCCTGGCTGCAGACTCTCATCTGGACCTTCCTCATTTCTCATGATAGCATCCTAATGTCCTATGACCATGTGGAACTTACGTTCAATGACATGAAGAATATACCAGAAGCCTTCAAAGGGACCAAGAAAGGCACCGTCTACCTTACCCCTTACCGGGTGAGTTACACAGCATGATGGTTGGTGTGGAGGCTTGGGCTCCTGGGGGCCGATGGGGGTCTTAGGTCGGCCTCAGCCTCAGCCTCGTGAGCCCCGTGGCCTTTGAACTGGTGAATGTTCGTTTCTCCCGCTGAGCAGGTCTCTCTCACTTGTCCCTGGGTTCTAGAACCACCAGGCTCCTTGTGCAGCTGCACTGATCACTGGGCTGTGAATCTTTGCCAATCCCAGGGCTATTGCTGCAAAATCCCCATGTCAGATGCAACTTCTGGGACGACTTAGGCCTGGAGGGGAGAGACTGTGATTATTTTGATTTCTGTAAGAGTAGGCCATGAGGCCTCTGTGCACACCTAGAGTGATGAATGTGGTAAACAGGATATAGTAGCATGGCCACAGCCTCCGGACTGGGCAGAGAGCCCAGCAGAACCCTGCAGAGTGAGAAATGCCAGACTGCAGAATGGGCCTAGCTTGTGAGTTGCCCAGGCAGACTCTGAGACTTCCAGGGGACCTGTGGCTATTCTTAGAAAAGGATCACTGCTTGTAGCTGCCCAAGAGTGGGACTTAAAGGTAGCTGGAAGAAAAGCACGCCTTTAAAGTTTAATCCACGGGACTTGGTGGAGACAGGGGAGCCTTGAAACCTCATTTCTGTTAGTGCAAGTGACATCTTCAGTCACAGATTGAAATCACAGGTTTAAAACAGAAGGGCTTCCCAGGCGTGGGATGTGCGGCTTGTTGCCGTTTGGGCGGGAGGGTTACAACAGCGCATTCTCTGACATCTGACACCCCCGCCACTCCCTTGTTTTCATTCTGCGAAGCTCAGCCAGACCTCCCCTCCAGGAAATCTTTGTTGCCCCTGCCCCTCTGCCCTAGCTTTGCAGACCCCTTGACTCCCACACCATACCTGCCACCTCCTCACCACCACTTAAATGACAGAGCGGTCTGCCCTTCTCAAGTACGCTGTCTGTGAGTGGCACTTTTTTCTTGTGAGTACACGTCGGGCCTCTTTGAGCCAGGCTGTGTGTAAGGCCTTTTACTTTTAAAATATCTCTCTGGTTCTACCTAGTGCAGCGAGAGCGTGGAGCTGCTGGACCCTGGCTTGGGCCGCTTGCCGCAGCACTGGGAGCAGACTCATCACGCACAGGACGTGATGGCTGTGTGGTCCGTGGTCTGGATGGTGATGGCCCTTGTCCTCTCTCTCCCTGCAGGTCATCTTTCTGACCAAGGGGAAGGATGCCATGCAGTCCTTCATGATGCCATTTTATCTGATGAAGGACTGTGAGATCAAGCAGCCTGTGTTCGGTGCAAACTATATAAAGGGAACAGTGAAGGCTGAAGCAGGAGGTGGGTAACAGGGGCTCAGGGACACAGACGGGGCTTCCAGGAGAGACTCTGGGGTGGTGCCTTGGAGACATCCTCTTTGGCCCCTTATCCCCCTGGCCTTGTCCTCTTCCTGACTCTGAATTAGCTTCTGAGACCAACACCTGGGCTGCCAGCTGTTCAGCGGAGGTGGGTTTTTGGTTGACAAGAGCTAGGAAATACTGGCAGTAAGGATGGCACCTCAGATCAGTCTCCCAGAGAATGAAATCAACACAGTGACTGAAAACTAAGTAAAAATACTTGTGACTTGGCAGTGTGTTCAGATTTTAGGTGTGGAAGGAACTGTGTCAGGTTCTTGGGCAGGACCTTTTTCCTAGAGCCAGGAAGAGCCGGCGGCCCTCCGTGACCATCAGAGAGGCCCTGGGTGCTGGCGGCTCTGTTGCAGACTCAGTAGAGGCATTTATGTTGAGCTTGGCTTCCGCTCACGCCCAGCCAGACCAAGCTTTGCTGTCGAGTTGCCAATGGCTCTCCTTTGGCAGAAGCCAGGCTAGAGGGGCCAGAGGGTCTGTCTTAGGCCCCTCAGGGGGAGTGAACTGCTCTGAACTTGAATGTCAGTTGCTGCTGAGTGTACCTGCTCTGGAGAGCTGTTTTTTTTGGCGGTGAGAGGCCCTTGGGCAGATGTCCTTATGGGGCTGTAGATGGGAAAACAAGCTTGTTCCGAGAAGGAAAAGCCCCTCTGTTCCAAAGAGTGAAGCACGCACAGGCAGGAGGCAGGCCTGTCCGCAGAGCTGGCATGCTATGTGGGCTGCAGGCCACCGGGGCATTGGAGAGGGATCTGCGGAGGACAGAAAGCCATCTCTTTGGGTATTACCTGTGTTCTTTTCCTGAGTGGTTGACATCCCGTTCGCTTCCCTTTCCAGGTGGCTGGGAAGGCTCTGCCGCATATAAATTGACCTTCACGGCAGGGGGCGCCATTGAGTTTGGACAACGGATGCTACAAGTGGCATCTCAAGGTATTAAGGCTCTAAAAATTAGGGGCCAAGGACATACTGAAGTATGTGGGTTTTTTTGTGTGTTCAAGTTTATTTTCTGTTTTATTTTTTAAGCACTCAAGATAAGTCTGGGCCCTGGCTGGGTCTAGGAGTTGGAAAGGGAGCCTGTAATAAGCATCACTCTCCTGTGCCTCAGAGACCGGGTCCCCCTGCCTGGGCTAGGGATAGCGCATTTTGATGGAGCTGTTTAGACTCAAGGATCTTTTACTGTGGTCGCATAAAAAACAAAAAACCCAAACACTCAGCTGACCGGACATTTTAAGTCACTAAGGGATGTGTCCAGCAGATGTCCTCCCCTCACCCCAGCCTCACCCAGCTCTGGTCTTCGCATCACCCCCGAGTCTTCCTCCTCCCCTCCGTCCATCTGTCCGTCCCTCCACCCCGTCCTGGAGTCCTTGACCCCACACCTACCCCCAGTCTGACCTCTCCCCATCTGGACCCCTGGCCTCTTCCCTGAGACCAACTTGGCACAGGTGGGGAGCACAATGGAGGGGGGTAAGGCATGTCCGCTGTGCACATTCCTGGGCTCCTGCAGCTGCCCTGGGCAGGCGGTGGCACTGCCCTCACCCCAGCCCCCAGGGCGGGCGGCACTCATTTCTCTCTCCCCTTGTACTTATAGCCTCCCGAGGTGCAGCCCCCAGTGGAGCCTATGGGTACTCTTACATGCCCAGCGGGGCCTATGTCTTTCCCCCGCCCGTCGCCAATGGAATGTACCCCTGCCCTCCGGGCTACCCCTATCCACCGCCCCCACCTGGTGAGTGTGTCCTTTGCTGCCCACCCTTCATCCCACCCACACCCGCACACTAAGCACCCCCACCCAGGCCAGGGGTTTGTAGAGGGGAGATTTTTCTCTTTAACCTGCTACAGGACCAGTGGAGAGGCTGGAGAGGCCCCGGAGGGCGCCGGCTGCGGGAGCCGGAGCCGGGCTGCTCACTGGGCTTCTGTCACTCTCTTGCTGAGCAGAGTTCTATCCAGGACCTCCCATGATGGACGGGGCCATGGGCTATATGCAGCCCCCGCCACCGCCCTACCCCGGGCCCATGGAACCTCCTGTCCGCAGCCCTGATGTCCCCTCCACTCCTGCAGGTGAGGCCCTAGGCTGCTCGTGGTCTGTGGGGACCAGCCCTTTCCTTCCCTAGGTTATGCAGAGAGCCTCTGAGAACAGGTGGAGGCTGGTTGGAAGCCCTAAATGATGGATGGTGCCTAGCCTAGTGACCAGCTCGGGGGCCAGCAATGTGGTGACCTGGTGATAAAGAGCTACATTCTAGCCCCCACTCTGTCCCCTGCTCATGTGCCTTGGGCCAGGAGGGCCTCCCTCTGTCCCTCAGTTTTCTCTCTAACAAATACCTGGTGGGTTGTGGTAAGGATCACATGGGCAGAGAGGTGTAAAGGGACTGCAAGGGACAGTGGTGTAGTGTGTGTGAGCGCTTGGGAGGCTTGATCCACTGCTTCACTGATGGAACTGTGTCCAGAGCGCCAGCTGCCGGGAGCAGTGGGGGCTGGGGCCGCTGGGCTCCAGTGCAGCTCTGGGGGCACGTGGAGAGGAGGTCGGGGCTTGTTGCTGGGCCTTAACTCTGCATATTTGCTCTCTTAGCCGAAGCCAAGGCTGCCGAAGCAGCTGCCAGCGCCTATTACAACCCAGGCAACCCGCACAACGTCTACGTGCCCACGGTGAGTGAGGCAGGGAGCCGGGCAGCCTCACTTTGCTAGGATTTGGGGTGGGAGAGCTCATCTTGTTTTGAACCTTCTAATGTGACCTTTCCTTTTTCTTCCCTAGAACCAGCCTCCGCCACCTCCCTACTACCCCCCAGAAGATAAGAAGACCCAGTAGATGCCCCTCACTCCCCTGCTTCCCACCTCTCATGGCTCCCTCCTTCCCCTTCCCTTGGGGCCAAGACTGGGGTTGGGGGGTGATGGGAGAGCCTTGATCTTCCTCTGGTCTGATGAAAAAACACTTAACAAGGAACTACTGTTGAGTGAAGGGAGGGGCCCCTTGACTTGGGAGCAGTGCCCCCAGCCTCCGCGTTACTCAGAGCCCAGGCATCGCTCAGATGCACTTTTGTCTTGGCATCTCTGGGGCTCGCCTTGGGCGCACAGGGTATCCCCCTCATTCCTGTCTTGCTCGAGCAGCTTCTTCCCACGGAGGGACTCTCTAGCCACCTCCTCCACCACAGTCCAGCTCCCCCATTGGTAGCCACTTAACTCAGCCTCACGAGCTCTGCCAGGCCAGCCACTTGTCTTCCCGAGGGCCCCTTGCCAGGCCCTGCTCACATGCCCTCCACTGGTCCTGTGCTTAACCATGGAAACTCACCTTCCCACCAGACCACAGCCTGTGTTTGGTTCCTAGCCATCCAGTCTCCAGCCCCAGGCACGCTCACCTTCCCTTCCCTGTCCTGGGTCATTCTGTTGACACTGTTCTATGATGTTTGGGGCTTTAACATGTGCTTCCAGAGGGTGGGTGGCATCAGGCCAGGCTGCTGTGGCTCGGGGAGGGAGCCCCGCTTCCCAGCTAGTGTGTCTGGAATTTGCCCTCGCCTTCTCTCTTTTCCCTCTAGAAGGGGCGTCTTAGGCTGGAACTGGAGAATGCACATCCACCCCTTATGCCACTTGGGGACAGCTGGGTGGGCGAGAACAAAGGCCCCCGAGCCCTGGGGCCTACTCTGGGTCTTGAGTTGACTATGACCTCTCACCACCTGCCCAGCCTGCACTCTTCCCTTTAAGCTTTATGTCCGTTTGGCATGCCCCCCGAATGCACTAAAATTTGTTCTCATTTGCTCCTGGACTGGCTGTGAACAGAGGAGATGGTTATTTAAAGAGAACTCCCTATTTATTTGACCAAAAAAAAACTCAAAACCCAGTTAATATATTAATGTGAAATAAACCTTGTTTGCACCTTGATTTGTTCGATGGAAATGTGAAGTAAACCTGAAGTAGCTGGACCCTGCCTGGCGTTGTGTGGCTGATGGAGCAGAGCTCTTGGAGGAGGAGGGCTGCTGGCTGCGGAGGGGCAGGCGGAGGTGCTGGGGACGCTGTGCCCTCCCTCTGGGAGCTTGTTTCCACAGGCCGTTTGGGCCCAGGACGCTGAGGCCTCTCATCTCCATTCCCTGGGCAGTTGCTCAGTAACTGCCCCACACCTCTTGAGTCCCGAGGGGCCCAACTCAGCCCAGCAGCTGCCCTGGGTGGGAGGCCCTGGAGCAGGGGTTCCGCTGGACGTGAGCTGCCATGGCCCTGGCTGCTGTGCCCACCGTCTTGCCTTGTGCAAGTGCAAGCCTGGCCCCCTGTGTCCGAGGGGAGGGGCCTTGCCAGGCAGTGCATGCCCTCGTGCCACCCTCCTTGGGCACTTCGGTGCTTGGGGGCAGGGGAGGACAGGAAATAGCCAAAGTCCATGCCAGAGGCTTGTGCCCTGCTGGGCCCTGGCCTGGAGGAGGATCCCGGGGGTGGTGTCAGCCAGTCTTGGATCTCGGAGAGCTGGGCCCTGAGCACCCATTTTCCTGGCTCTTCGGGATCAGAGTGCCCTCAGGAGAGGCTGGGCAACCCCCTACAAGGGCGTTTGAAGGGAGCACTCTTCTGACCATTCTTGTGGGGGCAGGGCTGCCCGTTCCCAGCACAGCTTGGCCCTGTCACCTTGGTGGAATGTCACCTGTGGGGCCTAGCAGGCTGAGCAATTGGCTGCCTGCAGGGAGATACCTCTAGAGCCGCCACCCTAGGCCCTACCCACTCCTGGTCTGGGGCCCATTCAGGGAAGTGTGTGACCCCCAGTGGCTTCCCTCAGTCCCCAGGCCAGCTGGGCACAGCACCTGTGGAGGGACAGGGCCTCTACCAGCATGCCCTGACGCCCCTTGCTGGGGCGTGCTGGCCCCGCCCACAGAGGGTGGGGTGGGGTGAGCCAGACCTGCCCCCTGGGCCTGCTTTCTGCCTCCAGCCTGGAGAGCTCCTCCCAGGGTCCCAGTCAGAGGTGGGGAGGAAGGAGCCGGGCCTGGGAGCCAGGGCCCCAGAGGTGGTGAAACCCTGACCTGGCTTCCCCCGCCTCCTCCCCTGGCATGGGGTGGCGGCACAGGGTGGCAGCCCTGGCTCTTTACATAATCCTGTGGCTTTGCTGTCTTCACCCACAGCAGCGGGCCCAGTGAAGGGGAAGGGCAGGGCCAGCCACCATGAGGATCCCGGGGGTGGTGTCAGCCAGTCTTGGATCTCTGAGAGCTGGGCCCTGAGCACCCATTTTCCTGGCTCTTCGGGATCAGAGTGCCCTCAGGAGAGGCTGGGCAACCCCCTACAAGGGCGTTTGAAGGGAGCACTCTTCTGACCATTCTTGTGGGGGCAGGGCTGCCCGTTCCCAGCACAGCTTGGCCCTGTCACCTTGGTGGAATGTCACCTGTGGGGCCTAGCAGGCTGAGCAATTGGCTGCCTGCAGGGAGATACCTCTAGAGCCGCCACCCTAGGCCCTACCCACTCCTGGTCTGGGGCCCATTCAGGGAAGTGTGTGACCCCCAGTGGCTTCCCTCAGTCCCCAGGCCAGCTGGGCACAGCACCTGTGGAGGGACAGGGCCTCTACCAGCATGCCCTGACGCCCCTTGCTGGGGCGTGCTGGCCCCGCCCACAGAGGGTGGGGTGGGGTGAGCCAGACCTGCCCCCTGGGCCTGCTTTCTGCCTCCAGCCTGGAGAGCTCCTCCCAGGGTCCCAGTCAGAGGTGGGGAGGAAGGAGCCGGGCCTGGGAGCCAGGGCCCCAGAGGTGGTGAAACCCTGACCTGGCTTCCCCCGCCTCCTCCCCTGGCATGGGGTGGCGGCACAGGGTGGCAGCCCTGGCTCTTTACATAATCCTGTGGCTTTGCTGTCTTCACCCACAGCAGCGGGCCCAGTGAAGGGGAAGGGCAGGGCCAGCCACCATGGCGACGCTCTTCTCCCACCCCCAGCGGCGCCCTCCCTTCTTGCGCCAGGCCATCAAGATAAGGCGCCGCAGGGTCAGAGATCTGCAGGATCCTCTGCCCCAAACTGCTCAGGAGGTAGGTGTAACCTCAGTGGGGAGAAGAGTGGCCTGGGTGGGGCCCTAAGGTCTTGGGGCTGGGCTGGGGCTGAGGCTGTGGTCCCCTCCCCTGCCTACCCCTATGCCTGGGCAAAGCCTCGGGATTGGCAGAGGGGGTCTGCCACATGTTCTCTGGAATACCCTGGGCCTCAGGTCTGAGCTTTGAGCCAACCTACCTACCTCTGGTGGGGCCAACATCTCCATCCTCTGCTTCTCCAGCTCCCAAGGCACGAGCTCCACTAGGCAGGCAGGGTCCCTTCTGTGAGCCGGGCTGCTTGGGGATCAGCTGAGCGGCCCCCGGGCCTGCTTGGCATGAGCCCCTGTCTCCCACCTCCGCTGCTGGGCCTCACTTCCGCCGCTGGGGTGCCGTGCGTGGCCACCAGATAAGCAGTGCTGTTTCCTCTGGGGAAGGAAGGGGGGCTGGGGCCACGGTACCAAGAGCTCACGCTGCAGTAGCCGCTGAGCGCTGATGGACCTCAGCCATAGTAGGCCCGGGGACAAGGAAGGTGGCCCAGGGATCGGCCCCCCGGGAGGCCTACTGGGGGAACAGGTGTGTGGCGTGGGCTGGAGGCTGGGGGCCGGGGCGCCGGGACCCAAGCCTGGGCCTGCTCTGGGAGGCGCCGTTCTGCCGCCTGAGCCCTGGTCCAGGCCTCCCAACACCTTGTTTTTTCCTCTTGGTCCCCAGATCGAGCCTCCACCCCCCCACTTCTCCCCGGAGGAGGTAAGAATCGGAGTGCTGGGGGGCCTCAGGGTGGTGTTAGGAAGCAGCTCTGCATCTTCCTGAGCAGCCTCCTTGGCTCCTGGCCAAGGCTGAGGGCAATGGCCTGGGGGCGCGGGGGACTTCTGGGCCTCAACCCCTCCCCTCCCCTGTGCATGTGGGCTTGTCCCTGCTTTGGGCTGCGGTCCTGGTGCCAGGGGTGGCTGTGTGGGGCTCGGGCTTAGTGGTGGGTGGACGGGGGCCCCCGCAGTGACCCCGCTGTGTCTCAGCGGACCCTGCTCTATGAGGAAGCTCTCTACACTGTCCTGCACCGCTTGGGCCAACCTGAGCCCAGCCACGTGATGGAGGCCTCCGAGCTGCTAAGATACCTGCAGGAGGTGAGTCCAGCCCCACTCCACCCGTGCCTTCCTACAGCCAGGACTCAGGAGTCCTTCCTCCCAGCCAGGCCACCCCAACCCTGTGCCCCAGCCCCCACATTCCTACCCCACCAGGCCTTCCACATGGAGCCTGAGGAGCACCAGCAGATACTGCAGCGGGCCCAGGAGCTCGAGGTAACCTTGGTCCAGGGCCATCCTGAGCACGGCGGGGGGCTGGGAAGCCCAGCTCTGTGTGGAACTCAGGGGTCTCCTCCTTTCCCTCCAGAAGCCAACATTTTGTCTGAAGGCAACGGTGAAACAAGCCAAGGGCATTCTGGGCAAGGATGTCAGCGGTGAGTAGGGGCTGGGGAGCTCTGTGGGCCTTCTCCCAGGCTCCTTCGTCTCCCCATCACAGTCTGTCCCAGAACTCTTCGCTGGAGCGCCGTCTCCCAGGTGTCCCCCGGGCTCGCCCTGTGCTGCTGGCCGCTGGCCCCTGGAGTCTGGGAGGGGGAGGGGCTCTGCCCCCAGGGTTCACGTGCTGAGGGACTGTTTCAGGGAGCCCAGGCAATGCCCTGACTGCCTTGTCTTCCTCCTCCTCCCCAGGGTTCAGCGATCCCTACTGCCTGCTGGGCATCGAGCAGGGGGTGGGCATGCTGGGGAGCAGCCCCGGGTCCCGGCGTCGGCAGAAGGCTGTGGTGAGGCACACCATCCCGGAGGAGGAGACCCACCGCACACAGGTCGTCACCCAGACACTCAACCCCGTCTGGGACGAGACCTTCATCCTGTACGTGGCCCTGCCCCAGACCCCACCCTGTCTGGGGCTACTCTTGGTGGCAGGGGTCTCCCAGTCAGTGAGATCAGCAGGGCTTCCTGGCTTGGGGTGGGGACTTGGCTTGACAACAGGAGGAGCCTGCCCCTGAGGCAGAGGAGACAGCCATGAGGCTAGACAGGACAGAGCAAGGACCTAAATGCCACATGTGCTGGCCAGGTGCAGAGGACTGGGCACTGGGTTGATTGTGGCAGGGTGGTGGCAGCCTGAAGCCTTTCCTTAAAGGAGGGAGGAGTTTGCAGGGAGGGACTGAAATTCAACAGAGATAATATCGGGGATGGCAGCTTTGGGGGACAGCCGCTGGGCTGGGATAGCCTGTTGGCCTGGTCAGGGACATCTAGCCCTGCAAGACTGTCAGCCATGCCCTTTTCTCCCTATAGGGAGTTTGAGGATATAAACAACTCAAGATTTCATCTGGACATGTGGTGAGGGACATGCCCTGCCCGTGAGGGTGGGGAAGACGAGAGGGAAGAGGGTGGTGGCAGAGCCTCCTCCCAAAGGGGTCGGCGATTCCCAGGATACCCTCTCTGCCTCTTATTCAAGCTTCTGCCCCACCAGGGACCTGGACACTGTGGAGTCTGTCAGACAGAAGCTGGGGGACCTCACAGACCTGCATGGGCTGCGAAGGTGAGTGCCACAGGGTCCCCAGGGGCACGTCGGCTTCTTCCGCCCGCCCCTAGGCTGCAGGCTCTATCTGGGCCCACGTGGCTGCAAGTTGGGGACAGACCCCAGCCTGACCTCCAGGCTCCTGGTCCATCTTCCTCACGGGGCCCTGCCTGGAACAGGATCTTTAAGGAGGCCCGGAAGGACAAAGGCCAGGACGACTTTTTGGGGAATGTGGTTCTGAGGCTGCAGGTGAGTGGAGTAGGGAAAGAGGCTCAGGAGAGAGGCTTAGGGGGCTTATGAGGGGCTCAGGGGGAGGGGTTACAGGTCTGCACCAAGCAGAGCCTGGGATCTGCCTCCCATTGCCTCCCCTGCCCCCAACCGCGTGAGGCTCATGCTGCTTGTGGGCCTGGGCAACTGCCTGCCCACCTGCCAGGACCTCCGCTGCCGGGAGGATCAGTGGTACCCTCTGGAGCCTTGCACCGAGACCTACCCGGACCGTGGTCAGTGCCACCTCCAATTCCAGCTCATTCACAAGAGGGTAGGTCTGGGGCTAGGGCCTGGATTGTGCAGCTGGGCTGCCCCAGGCCTGGGGTCCTCCGCTCACAAGCCTCCTGGCCCTGCCGCAGAGGGCCACGGTGGCGAGTCGCTCCCAGCCCAGCTACACGGTGCACCTCCACCTCCTGCAGCAGCTGGTCTCCCATGAGGTCACCCGGCACCAGGTACTGCCCTCCTGGGGCTGGGTGGGGCCAAGGCCTGCCTACCAGTTCCTGACCCCCCTCTACCTGTTCCCTCAGGAGGGCAGTACCTCCTGGGATGGGTCACTGAGTCGCCAGGCTGCCACCATCCTCTTTCTCCATGCCACACAAAAGGACCTGTCCGACTTCCACCAGTCCCTGGCGTGAGTACACAGCCCGGAAAGACCCCTGAGGGGCCATCTGGGAGGCACCCCCCTCTCCCTCCCTATTGCTCTCCTGTAAGTTGGCAGCCCAAAGTCTCATCCTCGAGAGATTTCTGTTTGACCCAAACTGTATGTTTTAAGTTTTGAATCAGTTGCCAACTTTTAAATAGCTGGAGATTCCGCGCCACAGATTCACACCTCCAGCTTCTCATGAAACCTAAGTGATGGATTGGCAGAGCTGTCATTTTCCTGGGCTGCAGCTGGTCAGAGCAGAGTAACATATCCTCCCCAGCCCATCACAGTGGCCACTGGGCCCACTGTACTCTTACATCACCTGAGTCCTCATGGGCATTTGAATTTGCCACCCCTACCCCTGCCCCATTTCCCAAAGCCATTGCCTACAAATCTATGTAAGGACATTACCGCATCTATGTTGAGGGCCTGCCACATTCCCAGTACCAGGTTAGATTGTGGGAATGCCAGGAAGGGGCACACAGGAGAGTTCACAGACATCTCAGCACACATGAGGAATGCACAAGTAGGGGCACACCTCGGTGCTGGCCAGGAGGAGGAGTGAGTGGGTGCTGCTATGGGCCAGGGCTGACACTTGGTATTGAGTAGGGGGCAGAGGAGGCTGTGGAGAAGTCAGCTTCTTGGACGATGGGCAGGTGGGTATTCCCGGATAGGTGGGGGGATGCAGATGGGGCTGCACACTGGACAGGCACTGGTGGCGAGGACCCAGCTTCCCTTCAGGGCCCAAGCATGCAGTGCGGGCCGCCGCCATGTCCCAGCGGGGCAGGGGCCTGTCCCTGGGCTGCTGTTCTCCAGCCTCCTTTGCCCTCCTACTCAAACCTTGTCTCAGTTCTGTCATCACCTCTGTGAAGTGTCCTCCTGAATGTCTAAAGGGAAGTTACAGCTGATGTTTGCTACATATGCATGAAGGCTCAAGACTCCAAATCTGATTTTTCAAAAGAAATAAGAAATCCTTCATTTTTAATCACAAAGATATTAACTTAAGAGATGGGTGATTAACTTACACATTTAAAAAACACCTCTGGGAACAAAAGCAATCCTGCTGGCGACCTTCAGCCACTGATTTTCATTAGGCACTGATTTTCAGCCTCTTTGGTGGGTAGGGCTCCACCAGAGGCCTCGGAGCAGGGGCAGCACACTGTCTGTGTTGAGGCCAGCACTGGCGGGAAGCTGAGGATTCCTGTCTGCTGCAGGCAGTGGCTGGCCTACAGCCGCCTCTACCAGAGCCTGGAGTTCCCCAGCAGCTGCCTCCTGCACCCCATCACCAGCATCGAGTACCAGTGGATCCGAGGCCGGCTCAAGGCAGAACAGGTGGGCCAGGGCAGAGCGGGGTGGGGGCTGGGTGTGAGCCAGAATGGTCGTCCGGCCCATAAAGCAGCTCCCTCCTCATGCATTGTTCTGGCCCTGCAGAATGTGGAGCTGGCCAACTCATTCAGCTCCCTGCTGGCCTACGGCCTCTCCCTCCTCCGGAGGTTCCGGTCTGTCTTCCCCTTGTCTGTGTCCGACTCCCCAGCCCGGCTGCAGTCTCTCCTCAGGTCAGTGGCTGCCTTTGCCCTCCCTGAGTGGGGTCAGGAAGGAGGGAACAGCGGGGGCACCTTCCTGGTGGGGAAGCCTGCAGGGGGAGTGGGGTCTGGGGCAGCAGGCATCTTCGACTTGTCTGTCTCCACAGGGTCCTGGTACAGATGTGCAAGATGAAGGCCTTCGGGGAACTGTGCCCTGACAGCGCCCCCCTGCCTCACCTGGTGACTGAGGCACTGCGGGTATGACGTGGCCATGACGTGGCCCTGGGATGGGGAGGGCAGGCGTGGGGCCTAGCCGCCCTGCCGCTCACTGTCCCCATGCCTGCAGACGGGCACTGCAGAGTGGTTCCACCTGAAGCAGCAGCATCATCAGCCCATGGTGCAGGTGAGGGGCTCCAGCCAGGTGGTGGGGGTCGCGCAGGGTGGCCCTCGCAGCCCTGCTCAGCTCACTTCTGTCCCTGCCAGGGCATTCTGGAGGCGGGCAAGGCCTTGCTGAGCCTGGTACAGGACATCATTGGCGACCTGCACCAGTGCCAGCACACATGGAACAAGATCTTCTACAAGTGAGCCAGTGGCTGGGTCAGGAGGGAGTGTGGCACAGTGGGGACTAAGGGGACCCTGGTGTGTACAGCCAGGTCATGCCAAGTCACACCTGCTGCCTCTCCTCCAGTACCCTCAAGATCGACCTGTTCTCCACTGCTTTCCTGGAGCTGCAGTGGCTGGTGAGGCTCTCCCCAGTCTCCAGGCCATGCCCTCCCCCAGGCTCTGGAGCTCTGCCCACCAGCCTACACTTCGCAGGTGGCCAAGCGAGTGCAGGACCACACCACGGCGGTGGTGAGCCGCCCTGTCTCCCCCGACACAGGCGAGAGTCTGTTCCAGCTCTACATCAGCCTCAAGGAGCTCTGCGAGCTGGGTCCCGTCCCCTCGGAGAGGTGGGCAGCAGGCGGGCTGCCTACAGGGTTGAGGAGGGTCGGGGAGGCCTGGCGCTGACCCCGGCCTTCCCCAGGCTGAGCCCCGGCTCTCCCCAGGGCCGGAGTCCTGGCCCTGGACGGCTTCCACCGCTGGTTCCAGCCGGCTATTCCCTCCTGGCTGCAGAAGACTTACAGCGTAGCCCTGGCGCGGGTGCAGCGGGCTGTGCAGATGGACGAGGTAGGGGCGGGGTCTCGGTGATGGGGGTGGGGCTTGGGGATACACTTGGACCTCCAGGATGGGCAGAAGGAGTAACCGAGTTGAGGGTTCCCTAGAGGCCAGTTGTATGCAAAACGCTGCCTCCCGTTACCCTTGGGGTTAACTGTGGCTTGCCTTTACAGAATCCTGGGGTATCTGGGTGGAGACTTGCTTGTTCCCCATTTAGGTCCCTGCCCAGTTCAGTGCTTACCTGTGGTGGAAGGTCTGAATGCTTGCAGAAAGAAGGGGGGCCATAGATTTGACAAGCCCTGAGCCTTCCTTTCTTTGTGCTCCCCAACTTCACAGTTAGTGCCCCTGGGTGAACTGACCAAGCACAGCACGTCAGCTGTGGATCTGTCCACCTGCTTCGCCCAGATCAGCCACACCGCCCGGCAGCTGAACTGGCCTGACCCCGAGGAAGCCTTCATGATCACTGTCAAGTTCGTGGAGGTGCAGCATCTTCCACATGTCCTTCCCCACCTTTCTAGGACAGCTTCATTTCCACCCACCCTGTTTCTCCCAAGCTTTTGTTCTAGCAGTCTTCAAAGGCCTATGTCCCAAATCCCCCAAGTCACCGAGATTCTGATGCCACCTAAACACGCACTGATCATTCCCTCCCTACTGCAGGACACCTGTCGGCTGGCCCTGGTATACTGCAGCCTTATAAAGGCCAGGGCCCGCGATCTCTCTGCAGGCCAGAAGGACCAGGGCCAGGCAGCCAATATGGTAAGGGTGGGAGCTTCTGGGCTGGGAGCCAGGGGCCAGGGTGAAGGTAGAGACTGCCTGTCCTGGCATTATCCAGGAAGCTCTCCATCCCTCGCCCATGCCTGCCCCCAGTTGTGTGTAGTGGTGAATGACATGGAGCAGCTGCGGCTGGTGATCGGCAAGCTGCCCACCCAGCTGGCATGGGAAGCGCTGGAGCAGCGGGTAGGGGTTGTGCTGGAGCCAGGGCAGCTGCAGAACACGCTGCATGCCCAGCTGCAGGGCGCACTGGCTGGGCTGGGCCATGAGATCCGCACCGGCGTCCGCACTCTGGCCGAGCAGGTACCTTGTCTGACCCATGTGACCCCACCCCACCCATCTTCAGCCTAAAGTACCCCAAGCAGGACTTGGGCAGATGTCCAGCCCCCACCCTTCCTGAACCTGAACTCGGGCCCCAAGCAACCTCTCTGGATCCTTCACTCATGTCCTGGCCTGCCTTCTACTGTTTTGTGACCCCAGCTGGAAGCAGGCATTGCCAAGCACATCCAGAAACTTGTGGGCATCAAGGAGTCTGTTCTGCCTGAGGATGTGAGTGGTTCTTCCTGTTTGCTGATCTTTGTCAAAAGGTTGCTTAGGATGGGCAGAGGGCTGAAGGCCCTGTGGTGTCAGAGATGTTCCCCAGACTTGAGCGAAGAATGTTCCCTCTTGGGCCTCAGTTTCCTCCTTGGATGCTAAGAGGGCTGGTTTGGGTCAGTCCACAGCCTTCTTCAGCACTAATGGTCAGTGTGGGGGAAGCAGTGAGGGAGGAATTAGACTTTACAGCCAAATAGACCTGGGTGTGTATCTTTCTCAGCTGCCTCATGGCATAGCTGTCCTGTTGATACAGACCAGCTGACTTCAGTTACCTCAGCTGTCAATGGGAATAGAAATATACACCTCTGAGTGTTTGGGAGAATCATTTATCTATCAACTATCAATACCCACTTTGTTCCAAGCACTGACTTAGGCACTGGGGATAAGTATCAGTGAACACCATGACAAAAGTCCCTGCCTTCCTATTCTAGCTTATATTCTAACAGGGAGGGTGAAAGAAGAGCTAAGTTGAGGGTATAGAACTAGAGTCATGGCTGTTAGTACAACCACGGCTCTGACTACAGATGTGCATGCATATGTGTGTATGAAGATATATCCACATATGTGTATATATGTACACATATGGTGTGTTAGATGGTAAGTGCTAAAGAGGAAAATAAAACTTGAGGGCGTGGAAAGTGTCAGAGGGTTGTATTTTTAGATAGTGGCCAGGGAAGGTCTTATCCAGAGGTGACAGCTGAGTCAAGACCTAAAGGAAGCGAAAGGAGTCATGAGGATTTCTAGGGGCAGGAACATCAAGGGCAAAGGTCCTGAGGCAGGACCATGCCTGGCAGGAGGCCAGTGTGGCTGGAGCCTACTGTGGGTAGGGGCAGCCCTTGCAGACTTTCCAAACAATGCACACAAAAGCTCCTGGCTCCATTTCCTCCCCCAAGTCAGGGCAGGGGCGTGGGGGTGGGGCCTGGACAGGCCAGAGCCAGATATGCCGCTTGCCCTTCTCCCAGGCCATTCTGCCCCTGATGAAGTTCCTGGAGGTGAAGCTCTGCTATATGAACACCAACTTGGTGCAGGAAAATTTCAACAGGTCTGTAGGAGCCACCTGTCCTGCAGTGCCCCACTGTCTCTACCTCTCTTCCGCCCACCCCTCCTTCCCAGACTCAGTGTCCATCCTCTGGGGAGGATGCAACCATCCTGTGTTAGCTCACACCCCCAGTGAGCCTCTGCCTAAAAGCTCACTCGCGGGGATAGGGAGCTCAGTGCCTCACATCTCATCTTAGGCTGAGCCCAAACCTGCCTGGCCTTTCTCCCTTAGCCCTGGGCCGTCCTCAGGGCTTTGCCACTGCAGCAGGGAGAGGTCTTCCTCTCCCCCAGTCTGGGGAACTTCTAGTTAGGGTCTCTTTTAAAGCAGGGGCCCAGCACCGTGGACAGCAGCAGGTAAAGGTCAAGGGTGTGGGCTGAAGACCTGAATTCAGACCCAGCTTCACTGTCAGGTGGCAGTCTTGAGCAGATTACTTATCTGTACAGAAGACTGTGGTTCTAGCCTTTATTGAGGATGAAGTGAGTCATGTGACACGAAGAGCAACGCTTGTGCACAGGAGGTGGCTGGTGACAGTGACCACAAGGTCCTCCACTCGGGGTCTGGGCCCGGAAGAGGCCCTCACAGAGTTCAGCTCCATGCCCAGTGGTGCGGCAGGACCTCAAGAGCTGTTTCTTGGGCCATAGAATGCCATCAGTTTAGCTCTGATTTTGATATAAAACAATTTAATGTCCTCTAAGATAGGAGCTTTACTCACTAATGTCTCAAAAACCATTAGAACAGTGTCTGATATATATAAGCATTTATTAACTACTTGTAATATAGAGCCTCCCCCATCCTTAATTACACATTTTTTTTGTACTTAACTGCCTGACTACTTTGACATGCAAAATTTGTGATTTTAGGTAGTTACTGGGACTGTGGTTTGGTTGCTATTTTTCTTCTCCCCACAGGTAGTGATGCTTATGTGGGCTGTGTGCTGAAATGCTATTCAGTGTGCCCCCCACCCTCTTGAATCATGATTCTGTCACTGGCAGCCAGCCTTCCCTCCACCCTGTGTGTTGGGGTTTGATAATCCTATTGAGAAGATTCTTTCCTAGGTTGTGAGACGCATTAGTTAAGACTGGCTCCATCTGCCCCTCTGCCTTCCCTCAGGAGAACAGCCCTGGGCCCAGCCTCACCTGAGAAGCAGGTGGAGGTAGAGGGTAGGGTGGGGAAACCTGGGGCCCATAAGGCCTCTCCTTTCTTAAGAACATCTCTGCTTCCTCCTCGTCTGTCCCCATCCTGTGTCTGGCATCCCTCACTCCAGCCTTCTGACCCTGCTCTGGACCCATACACTCACAGTGCTGGTGGAGGTGGCCGCCTCCCAGCGGAGCTGCCCCCTGGCCTCTAACAGGCTGAAGATGGCACTGCAGGTAATACCATCAGTGACAACAAATCATAACCTTGGTGGGAGACTACCTGGGATCACCTCTGATATCTCACCCCCCAGAACCTGGAGATATGCTTCTATGCAGAGGGTTGTGGCCTGCCACCTGAGGCCCTGCACACGGCCACCTTCCAGGTAGGGGCCTTTGGTAAGCTGGTGTGTGTGCCGGGGGGAGACAGGACATCCTGTGTTCACCTGTGTCCAGGACCAACTATGTAATTTACAGGGCCCAGCACAAAATCAAAGTGTCAGCCCCTTTTTCAAAAAATTTTAAATCTTAAGACAGCAACAGCAGAGCATTATTAAGCCAAGCATGGTGAGGGGCAGCTGCACAGGGCTGCATGGGTGGCACACCTGTGAAGTGTACCCTGTGTCTCTGGCTGGCTGCCAGGGCAGTCCTGAGGGTATATTCCCCTGCCTGTGGCCCCATAATGCCTAGGGCTTCCATATATTGACATCACCCGCTTCCGCTGAGAACTCCTGAAGAGCAGCACGACGTGGCTGAGTGTGAGTTCAGGTGACTTCTCACCTGTGCCCCCTCCCCAGGCCCTGCAGAGGGACCTGGAGCTGCAGGCAGCCTCCAGCCGCGAGCTCATCCGGAAGTACTTCTGCACCCGCATAGTGCAGCAGGTGAGGCCGCCTTCCTCCACCGCACCTGCTACGCACCTGGGGCCCCGCCTCACACGCTCTGCCCCAGCTGACACTGCCTGTGGTCCCACCCCAGGCAGAAACCTCCGCTGAGGAGCTCGGCGCCGTTACAGTCAAGGCCGCCTACCGTGCCTCTGAGCAGAAGCTGCGAGTAGAACTGCTCAGCGCCTCCAACCTCCTTCCCCTGGACTCGAATGGTGAGTGGAGGCTGCCCACTGCCCGCTCCCCATGTTCCCACTCTGCTCTGCGTCCTTGGTGGTTCTGCTCGCCTAGCGGTACACCTGGTACATTTCCAGGAGGGGGCAGTGCTTCTGAGCCATGCACTGCTGCACAGGTGGGCATCAGATGGGGGCTGGGGTATCCTTGGCCAACGTGTCCCTCGGCCACTTGCTAGGCTCCAGCGATCCCTTTGTCCAGCTGACGTTGGAGCCCAGGCACGAGTTCCCTGAGCTGGCCCCCCGGGAGACCCAAAAACACAAGAAGGACCTTCACCCGCTGTTTGATGAGACCTTTGAATTGTGAGTAGGCCCCACCCCTGCTGCCCTTCCCCAGCCCTGCACCCACCTCAGGGCTGCTGCTCTCAGCTGGGCAGGAGTTCCCCTGAGATGACCGCATTTGGGTCCCAGGGAGAGAGCTAGGGTATCTGCCAGCACAGGCCTCAGACCTGCTCCGCAAGATATTCTTCCGGATGAGCTCACGGCTGGAGGCTGCCCGCAGTTCCAGGTCCCTCTGCAGGGCCTGGGGAACGGGCACAGTTGAGAGGAGGTGGATGGGACTGTTGGGGGTGGGGGGAAGACTACCACCTTAGACTGAGAGGCTTGCTTCCAGGGGTTGTCCCTGAGGTCTTCGGTTCCCCACAACAGGCGGGCCTGGGGATGCACAACCCCCTGGTTTAAAGCATCAGCCCATGGTCACAGCAGGTGTCAGCATGTAGCTGGAGGTATGCCAGGCTGACAGCTGACTTCCTGATCTTAATCCTCATCAGTCGATGGCCTGTTTCTCCCAGCCCGGCCTGTCCTCGAGAAGAGGGGTGGGTGGCAGTGGCAGCATGTGGGGCAGGCAGCTGAGTTCTGCTCTGTCCCCTGCTCAGCCTGGTGCCTGCTGAGCCGTGCCAGAAGGATGGGGCATGCCTCCTGCTCACGGTGCTGGACCACGACACGCTGGGGGCTGACGACCTGGAAGGGGAAGCCTTCCTGCCCCTGCTCTCAGTACCAGGCCTGACTGGGACCGAGGAACCTGGCGAGGTGCCTCAAACCCGCCTGCCCCTCACTTATCCGGCACCAAACGGTAGGCTTGAGCACCAGAGCAGGGTGGCAGCTGGGAGGCTGAGAGTGGGGCCTGGCCCAGCAGCGGGGGTGCAGGGGAGGAGCTGTCTGTGAAGGTTCGGGCAGGCGCCCCACCCCCAAGAGAGCTGAAGGTGGGGTCAGGGAAACTCCTCGGGGAAGCCTGTGGAGCCAGTGTGGCAACCTGTGTTGCTGAGTAGTTCTCTCCGTCTAAGTAAGAGAGCAGTGAAACTTAAGCTGGGCCAAATGTGGTGTGACTTCCTGGCAGGGCAAGGTCACCAACACATCTACCCAGAGAGAGGGGCCAGATCTCTCTGACTGGGGGCACATCCTTGCAAAGCGTTCCCCAAGCTTGCTGTCAGGAATAGGTCATGTATTTGAGCACTTACTAGGAGCCAGTTCTAAGCGCTTCACATGAACTCTTTCAATGCTTACGGCTGAGTGTGGGGCCTGGTCTGGTATTTTTATCACTGCTCTTTTACAGATGAGTTAGCTGAGACACGAAGAGGTTCACTGGCTAGTGTAAGGTTCTCATATAAAAAGTTAATAGTCGCAACCTCAGGCACATCTCACCCTCCTGAACTGTATTCGGGTCAGGGTGTCTGGGCCGGTGCCGTTGTGCCAGGGATGGGGAACAGGTCTCCAGTCTTGTCTGTCAGGATGTCTTGTGAGCTTGGCTGGTGTGGGTCCACCACTACTTTCCAGGTAGCGTGGAGAATGGGACAGTGCTGTGCCCCCTGCCATTACGTCTCCTCGAGTCTGACCTGCAAATGCCTCTTTGCAGGGGATCCAATCCTGCAGTTGTTGGAGAGCCGGAAGGGTGATCGCGAGGCCCAGGTGTTTGTGAGGCAGCGGCGACAGCGAGCCAAGCAGGCCTCCCAGCACCCCCCGCGGCCAGGGCAGTGACAGTGGAGGTTAGGGACAAGCTTTCATGGGAGGTCTGGGGTGTCCCCCATCACAGAGCAGCCCTCCAAATTGGCCTCACTCCAGAGGTCCCTGCCAGTATGGGATCCTAGCATGCCCTGTGGGCCTCCTGCCGGAGAGGAGTCCCTGGTGATGGGGCACCACTAGCAATATTTATATTCCTCCCTCCTTTCCCCCAACCCCGGACTCAGTGTTCTCGGCCAAATTCCAGCACCAGGGGGAGGGGGGGCAGCTCTCGGCATCTCCGGCCCCTGCTCCCCGCTCTGGGTAAAGCAGCTCTGGCAGAGCAGAGCAGGGTCTCAGCCATCTGTCTCCATGTGTGCCTATTCCTGCCATTTGCAGGGGCAGGGGGCAGGCTCCCTTGGGGCCCGGGCTGTGGGCACACAGCCTGACGGGGGAGAGGACCCTGCCAAAGATGAGGCTACAGCTGCCCTGGAGGGGAGGGATGCTGCCATAATGAAGGGAGCCTTGGTCCTCTCCTGCTGCCAGCACCACGCTGAGCCTAAAGCCAGGGACCTTCTGGCTCTTAAGGGGTGAGGAGTGGCAGACAGTGGGAGTGGCAGAGAGGGGAGCAAAAGACAAGACAGCTTGGTTAGTCATGTCTGTTGAGGACATCTCCCTTGGGCAGTACCTGCCACTTAGAAATGTTCTTAGCAAAAAAAAAAAAACCAATCCATCACTTAGAAAACACACTGTTGGCCTGCACTGGGGCCCAGATTAATCAGACCATGCAAACCCCCTGTTCAGCCTCCAGGAGACCCTGAGCTTCCCCCCACCACCCTGGGGCCTAAGCCCACTCCTCATGTTACAGAGCAGGGGGACAGATGCAGAGGTAGCCGATGCTGGTATTTTGGCCAAGGTCTTCACACAGAATGCTACCAGGCCTGTCAGTTTCTGTGGCTGCTGCCCAGCCAGGGCCTGACATTCCAGGGGAAGCTCGCTGAGTGGGGAGCCTCCAAGGGGTGCAGGCTGAGGCCGAGTGGCTGCCCTAAACAGCAGGGCTTCGAGGGGCAGTATCCCAGCCCTGGAGAAGTAGCCTCAAAGCTTGGAGTCAGACAGGTCTACCTGTCATTCTAGCTGTGAAACCCTGGCTGGGTCAGTTAACCTCTCTGAGCATGTAAAACTACCATGGGGGGGGCAGGAGGTCAGATAAGATCATCCCCAAGTCTCCTTTCAGCTTTGAACCACTGAAACCCCCCGAATGCCCACTGGGTGTTTTTTCTCACACGCACCTAACAGGTCAGCTAAGAGCAGGGCGGGGAGGTGGTGGCCCCAAGGCTAGGACCCTCACCTCTCAGGGCCAGGAAGGCACGATACTCCTCTGGGGCCCCCCTTTTTTTTAATGCTTTTTTGAGAAGGCACAGTCTGTTCCTCTGGGGAACAGCTAGAGGCACTGTTGTCTTTCAGAAAAGTGACATCAGTTGCAGCTGATGACAGAGGTGGGCAGGAAGAGCTGTGGGGCCTGGGAAGTCTGTGTGTCCAGGGCTGAAGGTGCCCACCTCAGCAACCCCAGCCAGCCGGGCACAGAGCACTCCAGGTCTAGAAGCCTGGAGCCCCCTTTGGGCCTGGATGGTCCCAGGGAGTGGCCAGAACAGCCAGGTTGGCCCACTCACCATTCAGAGGCCCTCCCGGGGGCCCCACTCCCCCCCACCATGTAAACAAGCTACCACTGCAAGTTCGTATTTTATTTCCAATAGGTTTGGAGCTTTGTTTTTTGCATTTTTATAAAAAAAAGTTTTCACTTAATTCATTGAAAGCCCTTTCGTGCTGGGCCCGAGGAGGGGGATGCTGGGCTGGGACCACACCCTTCCTAGCCCTCTTGCCCCTACCCCAGGCCCCCAGTGCTGGGACCGGGGTGGCTTCCCTCCACCCGCTCTGCCCTCCCACCCCTGCTGCATCTCTCTGTACAGAACAATTTTTAAAATGGAAGCTAAGACACAATATACATTGGACAGGCACACACACATGCACACAGGCGTCTGCTCCAAAAAGGGGCAGGACGTCAGCTGCACTCGGAGAGCACCAAGGAATGCATATGGAGCCCCTCCTGGCGAGGAGGGCAGGGTAGGAGCCCTGCCTTGGCCCTCACAGTCCCCATCTCCTCCCCACCAACTGCCCTGCTAGCTGCCGGGGGGTGGGGGTAGATAGCACGGAGGGCCGTGCCGGGTGGGAGGGACAGCGGAGGGCAGTGCTGGTAGGTGGCCCTGGGACCAGGAAGGCTGCTCTGGGAGCCCAGAGGGAGAGGGCTGACATGGACTCCTGGCCTCAGAAGCCTGAGGTTCTTAGAACTCCCTGGCCGTGCCCCTCAAGGAGCTTCAAGGCCCCAGGGTTGGGAGTGGGGCTGACCCCGCAGCTTCGGCCTGCCAGCCCTCACCGAGCACACACTTGGTCACCCAGGGGCTGGGCCGGCTCAGCCCTCAGCTCACTTCCTCAGGCCTCACGGCTGGGAGCCAGGTCTGCCCCCAGGCCTGCACCCCACTGGCTCTTGCCCTGGGTCGGGGAGGTGGGTGAGCAGGGTCTGCCCTGAAGGCTTGTCCCCTACCCTCAGCCCCTTGTAGCTGCCCACCCTTCCCTGCTCAGGCCCCAAGAAGTTAAAAATAGTTAATTCCTACATAAAAAAGGGAGAAAGATTCCCTGCCAAAGGCTGGTAGGAGAAGAAGGGACTTTGTCTCTGCAGTGGGAAAGGTAGAGAGAGTGGGCAGGGGAGGACTGCAAAATAGTTTTTTCTTTTAAAAAGTGCTTGGTAAGTCTTTTAAAGTGTGTGTCTATATCTATGTACAGATATACACACAGACACTGTTCACACACTGGCCGCCCACACATACCTGCACACATACAGAAATGCATACATATATAGAATCATATACATATACATACATACATACATACATACATATATATATATATATATTTATATATATATATACTTTAAAAAGTCCCAGGTGAGAAGATCTGAGCCAGGCCGGGGCCAGGCCTGCAGGGTCACGACTGGAGGGTGTGAGCCAGGCCAGGCTGGCAGACGGGGCACTCGCTGCCCTCAGCACAGAGCCCACACAGCACGGCATGTTGGCATGGCAGCACCGCTCGGTTCTGCTCCTGACACTTAAGGCATTTCACCGACTGCATGTGGAACACAGCCTACGGGGAAAGTGACACCTCAGTCACTAGCCGGCCTCCGTTTGATGGAGAGAGACCAGGAGCCGCCTCTGCTCTCACTTCAGCTCCCCTGGGACGAGGACAGAGGTGCAGAGTCAGCGTGTGCTCACAGCCCCCAGCTGACAAGTGGGAGGGCAGGGCTCTGACTGCTGGAGGCTCTTAACTTCCACCTCTGCGGCTCCGATCTGGGCAGGCTTTCCGTTGCCCAAAGGCTTCTGCCTCTCATCTCATTCCATCTACAGTGACCCTGGGTCCCTAAACAAAAACAGTGGGGCCTGGAGAGGACAGTGTTGTGTTTGAGGTTACATGGCCTCACAGTTACGGGCCTGGATGCCAAATGCCCATCAAAAGGAAATGCTCTTTCCACTGTGCCACGCTGCCCTGGGGACCTAGCAGGGCACCTAGGAATGCAGACAGAGTAGCCCTGGGGACCTAACCATTCTGGAATGTCTGCTGGTATATGCAGAGCTCATGGGAGGAGAAGCCGTCAGGATGCAACTTAAGGCCCAGGCATATGGTGCAGCTCAGGTCAGTACCTGCCCTCAGAAGTGCCAGGAGGGGCACTGACCCTATCCAACTCCAGCCTTCTCACCTGCTTGGGGTAATGTTCTCTTCCTAGACCCCCTCCAGCATGCCAGCATTTTGTGTTGGTCCAGCTGCTACGCAGAGGCTCAGAGGAGGGTGGCTGGCCCTGGACCCGTCAGAGTTCAAGCACTGGCTAAGGCCACTGTCCACCCCAACCCGATGTTCCCCTAACCTCCAGGACTGACCTTGTCCACTTGCTCCAGGTGCGCCCGCAACTGCTTCTGGAGGGAGTAGAGGGTGGAGAGGGAGAGAGCCTCCAGGTCAGAGAAGGCAGGCAGGGCCTGCGGGTCGGGGCCCGAGTGCAGCCGCTCCAGCTCCTCCTGCAGCTCCTTCACCTGACCCTCCAGCGCATCCCGCTGCTCCCGGGCCAGCTCACACTCGGCACCTGCGGCGCTGGCCCGCTCGCCAGCCTCCTCAGCCTCCTTCTTCCAGGCATCACAAGCCTGCGGGCCCAACATTCAGCACCTCAGCACGAGAGTCCCTGCCCCCTGCCCCCATCTCCAGGAGCCTGCGCGGGCCAGGTGGCCGGGTCAGCTGTGTGGGGAAGGGGGCAGGGAGGAGGCTGATGCTGCCTGCAGAGAAGAGAGGTTTCAGGACCTGCAAGAGACCTTCTGTGGGCAGGGAGGGGGCTGAGCCCAACAGAGCGGCAGGAAGAGCCAGGCTTGCTGGCCAGCACCTCCAGGGACAGACAGGATGTGGCTGGACAGAGGGCCCTCTCCGAACCTAGAGTCCTGGACCTGGCGCCCTGGAGATCAAGGCTTCTGGCGAGAGGCCAGTGGTATACTGTGGACCTAGACCAAAGAAGCCACTCACAGAGGGAGCTCCAGGCCTGTGACACCGGCCACCCCACCATTCCGACTACCAAGGCAAACGCCTTGGGGAGTTTCCCCAGGGGCAGGGAGCGAACAGAACTTCCTGCCGTTCTCCGGGACTCCTGCCCTTCCCGACCCCCTGCACCTGCTCTGTGTGAGATGGACTCAGGCCGGATGCCACCGGGCCCTGGGGAATGCCGGTGGAAGTGGGGCCCAGTACCTGCTTAGCCTGCTTCCAGGACTCCTCCCACTGCTTGATGGTGCCATTAGCTTCATCCAGCTCTTGCCGAAGTCGGGCCAGCTCAGCAGCCCCAGGCCCCGACAGGAAAGCAGGGGAAGTGCCCGGGGAGAAGCTTCCAGAGGCAAAATGCTCCCAAATGCTGCTGTTCATCCCATTCAGACCTGCCCCAAGAGGGAAGGAACATCAGAGCTCTGCAGGGCTGGGCCCTGTCCAGTGCTGCCTGGGACTTCAAGGGGCTATGCCGGGCTCCAGTAATGTTGGGCTGGGGAATTTCACAGGGACGTGTAGGTACCCTGGTTAAGTCAGACCTACTGCAGTGTCACCTGCTACTTATCAGCTGCCATTTCACATCTGAGTCTCAGCATCCTCATCTGTAAAGTGGGTTCCCATCAAAGGCCTCATGGTGGTTCAGGGGACTTGGGAAGTGCTGAGGGCAGCAGTCTGTGATCATGACTTGACTTTAAGGCTAGAGAGAGAGGAGCCTTTTTACACCCTGGTGTGAGGCGCACAGGAGATTTGGGAGGAAAGACATGGGCCAGAGCCTCTCAGAGCCTTTTATCTCCCAGATTCAGAAAGAGCTCAGGGAGCCCTGGGTCTGTCCCCCTTGTCTTATGATAAGGAAACGGAGATAAAATGTGTTGCCAAGAACCACACAAACAGAAAGTGGACTGGCGTCTGACTCCAAAGGCCGCCTCTGTCCAACAGGCCAAGCTGCACACCCACCCACACGCCCACCCACTCATTCAACAGATGTTATACTAATACCATGTGCTCCTGGCTCTGTGGCCCTCAGGAAAGCCCCTACCTTCCAGAGAGGGAGTCATATCTACCTCTGGCCTCATTCTGCCCACACATACCATTCTAATGACTTCTTTCTTAACCTTCTTTCTTAACCCAGCCAAAATGTCCCAGAACCAAATGGACTTAAGTTTGTTCTCCAAGCAACACAAACACACCTCTAATATAACAGACAGTGCCATCCCGTGTGGAGATGGTACGGTGGGTGAGGTGATCCACCCTGTCCCAGAGGCAGGGACTCAGGATCGCTACGCGGACAGGACGCAGTCCCAGCAGCTGGCTCTGCCCATACCGCTCCTCCACACTCGGGTGGCATTTTCCCTCTTAGACAGGAGCCACTTCCTCTGAGAAGGCCCTCTTGACTACGTTCTGGTTAGGTCCCCTCTAGAATTCTGGGTCACAGCACTCAGACCTATGATCTAATGTCTGTGCACCTCTGCCTTTTCTGGTAGACCACAGCTCCCTGTCAGAAATTGATTCTATAAAACTCTGCTCATTACACGGGGAAGGAATAATGTGCTTCCACTAAGAGCTATAGTTGAGATGCCTCCAAAATATGGGGCAAGTCAAACAAATGTGACACTAAGCATCGGAAGCTGACAGCATCAACATAAAACAGAACAGCCACCTTCAAACTGGAAACGTGCTAAGATATCGATGTACTGCCCTGACCTCCGGGGTGAGATGAGGGAAGGTCCCAAACCTGGTCAGAGCAGCAAAGGGTGACTCAGAGGTTGAGGCTCGGTGCGACCAGGATGCCCAGCGCCCCTGGGGGAGGAAGGCGAGGCAGCTGCTGTGCACTGAGAGGCGGTGGGCCGGGCACTGTGCCTAAGGTTTTCGATCTGTTACCTAGTGAATGTTCCCAGCAGGCCTCACACAGGAGATGAGCTCCCTGGCGGAGGCTGCAGGTCTCCATGCTGTGCTCCTAACCAGTATGATTTGATGGCCCCCCAGAACCCCTGGTCTATATGATTCTAGTTCTGTGTTTGGCAAACAGCCTTCAGGGTGGAGCTGGGTCTCCCTGGAGCCTCTGCTTGCCAGGAAGGCCACCTGGAGCCAGGGGTGAACCTGTTCAGACTTTCCTCTTGCCCTCCTGTGACACTGGCTTTTGAGCCCACCTCTGAGAGCTCCGGGTGACTGGGCAGAAATACCAC